TCTAGTAAAACCTGAGGCTCAGACATGCTAATGTCTTGCCCAAAGTCAGAGATGGAAAGTCCAGTTTTAACCAAACTGCCCATGGCAGAAGCTGACCTTATGTTTGCTCATTTCACATTTGACTACCTCACTCATTTGGCTCTGCCTAATTATAATGTCTGTTCATTTCTGTGGCTTCAAGTAATAATACAGTTGTTTGAGCAACTGAATCCAAGAGTACACATTTAATCAGCATTTCCTAGTAGCCACCTGGGGTGGAAATTGGACTAAAGTTCTCTGCAACTTTCCAACAAACACTATCACACATGTCTGGATTGTTTCCTGCCTGATGAACAGGTGATGTGGTTACCAAGAGTGCATTGCATTATGAAATAGGAACCACCTAAATCCTCTAATTCTCACTGACTTTAATAAAGTTCAGGTGTGCACCTCAATCAGTGCTTATTGGATCTGGAAGGACGTGAGCAAAAAGGAGAAAAAAGTCTATCAGGCTGGCATCAGGCAAGGGTTGAACCAAAACTACCAGGCATGAGTGAAGGTTACATGTGCCACTTTATGGCAATGACAAATAGGTAAAGTCTAATGTCCATTCACCCTTAACTGAAAGGCTCCCAGAGATGAGAAAAAGAGAGAGAGAGAGGAAGAGAGAGAGAGAAAGAAATTATATTTGGTATGGATCAACTAGACCTTCCCGATCCTATTTTATATTATGCTACAAAAGTTGTCAAGGAGTCTTCTGGATCAGAGACAGCTTTTTTTTGGTCACCAACCATGAAGTTCCTACACTTAGTACTTCAGAGGTTACTGATCCCCAGTCTTGGTTGATGTCCAGCTTCCTCTTGTCTAGCCCAAGATCACTTGGATGATGGAGCCAAAGGATGACAGACCAGAATCCCAAGCCTCACCTCTCCATATGCTCTCCCTCACCGCCCACATCTAATGAGTAACTGAGTTCCGTGGTGGCGTCTACCTCGGAGATATCTCAAGAATGTAGCTGTTTTTCTCCATGGCCACTACCACAGCCACCATGATTCAGGCCATCATCACCACCGTCTGAATAATTATAATATCTTTAAGTGGTCTGGTCCAAACGAACTCCCTTCAACCCAGCATCCACATGAAGCCAGAATGATGGCACTGTAAACAAAAATGCCTACCAAGTCCCTCCTCTGTGTAAAACTCTCCAGCAGCTCCCTTTGCCCTAGGATAAATAATAAAAATAATAGCCAACAATTACTGAGTACATACTCTGTGCATATCTTATCTCAATTTTGCAGCAATACTATGAGGGAGGTACTGGCTTCATTACCGTTAATTATTGAAGCTAAATTACTTGACTGAGGTCCCACAGCTAGGAAGTGGCAGACCTATGACTCAAACCTGGGTCTGTAAGACTAGAGTGCATTCTTTAACCTCCGTGCTGGCCTGCCCATCTCTCCAGCTCCATCTCTCAATGAGCCCCTCTTGATCCTTAGCTCTTTGAACCCCTTGCAAGTCCTAGAACTTGACATGCTGTTTCATGCCTTCGGTTTGTGGATGTTTTTGCACACAAATCTCTCTCCTATTATGCCGTCTCCCTTTTGTCTATCTGCTGGAGCATCTCATCTTTCAAGATTCAACTCAAGTGTCACCTCGTCCATGAACCTTTCCCTGACTCCTCCCCGAGTTGTGTATTACTGTTTCCTGCTTATGCTTCCATTACGACAAACACAATACTTTACAGCCTGCACATGAATGAGTATGACTCCCTCTCTTAGATGTCTATGACTTCCTTAAATGTTGGGACTGTGTCTTAGCAATTGATTTTATCCGTAGTATCCAGCACAGTTCTTGGCACACAGAAGGTTTACTGTAAACATTGTTGAGTGAAAAAAAAATATTTGTTTGAACATGAAATATTCATGTTCATGTTCATTCAATTCATGTTCATGTTCATTCAATATTCATGTTCAAAGTGCTTATTGGATCCGGAAGGATGTGAGCGAAAAGGAGAAACAAGTCTATCAGGCTGGCGTCAGGCAAGGGTTGAACCAAAACTACCAGGCATGAGTGAAGGTTACACGTGCCACTTTATGGCAATGACAAATAGGTAAAGTCTAATGTCCATTCACCCTTAATGTCCATTCACCCTATCTTGGTTAGATAGAGGATCCCATGCACTACATTGTGAAATTTATATTTCATTTATCTACAGCATCAATAATTGGTAATATATTTTTTCTTTACTTAGGACATATGAAGCTTTGAAGAGGTACTACAGGGTAATTAAAAAAATTTGACATCCTCCCAATTAGAGCTATGGATAGGGATGGAGGTAAGGCACTATAGTCCACCTGCCACACCAGTTTTCACCTGGGACACTTTTCAGTGATAACACTGAAATGTCACTGGATAAACCAAATTTGGTATCAAGGTTATATACATATTTACCTTATCAATGGGAGCATGGATAATTCACATTTTAACTGAAATGCACACATTTTATTATATACAATAAAATAAACTGAAAAGAATAAAGTTAATCTGAACATTTAATTTAAAAGCAAGAATACAGCAATGGAAGACCATGCCCAATTCAAATGATGAAGACCATGCCCAACGCAAATGATGCATTCTTTCCTCAAGTGCTAGAAATGCCAAATCTGCACCTGTGCACACATATGGCAAATGCTACATGGCAGGCAGTCTTCCTGATGACGAGCAGCCAAGTGCAATTCCCAAAGGATACACCTGGGCCTACCTCAAAACCAAATATATCCTCAACACTCCCATCCATCCTTGCCTCTTGCCTCCAGGGAGAGCTCTTTGCAAAAGCCTTCCCAGGTCTCACAAACTATAAACAACCTCAAAGAACTTTGTTTCCTTTAGAGAGCTTATCTTAGTTTGTAATTACATAGTCAATACTTAGTTATTTTAGTAACAGCTGCCTCTCCAAAGCATCTGTAAGCTCCAGGACCTTGCCTGGTTTTATTCACCATTTTGAGGCCAGTGACTGTCAGATAGCCAGGCACTCTATATAAATATTTTGAATGAATGAATGATAATTTTTTTCCCTCTTACTCATTTCCTTGTTCTCTTAAGGATTATACACAACTCCTCACCCATCTCAAACTTGTAGTCAATTCATTCTGCTAAATTATCCCCGTACCCTATCACAAAGATCAGTCCTTATTTTCTAATCCTCTCCTCTCTAATCCCTCCCACCCCCCACCCCCATTCAAACAATCTTCCTAGAAACGGCAGCTTCTAACCATCCTGAACTTTTTGACACGGTTGGGATCCAGTTCAAGATTATGCAACATGAAAAAATGAACAAAATAAAGGAATATGTGGAGACTGGAGTGGCTATTAGGTTATTTTAAACAATTTATGCAGCTCCTAAAGAAACTGTTAATTCAGTAAAATTCCAACCACTCTGTTTTATCATATAGATAAAACCAGGTTGATTTGCTAATTTTTTCACTTCTCAATGTTTGGGCCTAGCACAGAAAGTCTTGGAGAAGAACTGAGTGTGCTGATAGCTGGCAGGAAGTAAGCCACATGTGTGGTCTCTTAGCAGAATTATCAGGAGGTTGTTCCTAAATAACAGGGGTCTGTGCTCCAGGATTCTTCTCCACTCAGGGGTCCTGGCCTGCTCCTTCCTTCCCACTTCCCACATCTTCCCCTCCCACCTTGTCTACCACAAAGCTGTGTCCCTGAGCCCCTTTACAGGGCCGCTGGGAGGCAGGTATAAAACATATAAAACACCCACTCTCCCAGGTTCCTACAGAGGAAAAATCCTAGGCATGCCATGCCGGGGTCCTAGGGTAAAAGAGGAACGGCAACGCAAAGGTGTAACTGGCAAAGTTCTGTTTTAAGGAATAGGAACAAGTACCCTGTTAAGTTCTGGAAATCTACAGCACTGCAGGAACTATCCTTCAGTAAGTCCCCTCGGTACCAGGCTCTACCTAGACTGCACTTGGAAAGTCCAGTTTAAGGGGGGAAAAACCAGGTAAGTATAGTACTTGCCATGTGCTCTTCCCCAATGCGCCTTTCTTCGAATTCCCGGTAGAGTCAAGGCAAGCAAATGGGATGTATTCTCCTTAGCAGGCTCCCTACCCTGAGGACCACCTCAGTGAAAGACATTTGAGGACCAGAGAGGTGTTGCTAGAAGGGAACACCGAAGATTGAGGGATGTGAGCAGTGACGGTGACATCATTATCTTCTGGTACCTTCATTAGGTAGGAGGTGGATAAAGAATTAAAAGGAGGGGACAGAACGAGTAGAGTAGGAAAGGATATGGGTAAAAAAGAAGAGAGGGATAAATAGACACAGACGCTAGTATAGGCATTGTCTCTAGAAGACAAATGCTTTTGTATCATTTGATTTAAAAAAACCCATGTGCATATATTATCTATTGAAAGCGACAATCTTAATAATAATGAAAGATTTCATCAATCTGGTACTCTTGCCTTTTCTCCTCAAGGAATATGGAGGCTGGTGACCAGGACCAGGGACTGACATCCTAGTTTGGTGCCACTGAGGCTAGGTCCCCAAGGCAGCTGGCGGCTTGGACCAGAAATCCAGCGAGGGCACTCACGGCTCCGGAGGACCTGGCGGACGCTGTGGCCCTCCCTTCCATACACTTACACTCTAGAAAGCTACCTGTCCCCTTGCGGACACACGGAAAGAGAGTTCTTTCACATAGTAACACAGGCAGAAACTAGGAGTCACAGGACACCACCCACGGCCGGCGTGTTACTGTGCGCTCCCGCTTCTCTGCATGGGAGACCCACTTCCCCTTGGGGGGTCGCTGAACAGTGCAGTCCTGCGCCGAGGAAACCCTTGATCCTGTAAACCTGGGTACTAACTTCCCCCACGACCTTCACGAAATGCTCCTAGGCCGGAGCTGCTCAGGCGTGCGCCCCTCGTCTGGCCCCGAGCCCTTGGCCCCCAGACCCGCCACAGCCCCTCCCCGCTGGGGGCGCTTCCCCCCGCCCTCCTCCAGTCCCTGGTCCTACCTGCGCCCCTGCCCGGGCTCCTTCGCACAGGGGCAGCTCCCGCCCCTCGGCTGTGGGTCGCCACCTGGATGGGCTCGGGTCTGAGCCCAGGACGGCACACGGGCCCCGCTCTCAATGCCAAGGTCACGGTCTTGCAGAGGCTCGCGCGGCTCCCTGGCGCGCCAGCGCCCGCTCCCGGTCCGGCCACAGCAGCCCCCGCGGACCCTCTGGGCGGCCGCGGCGCCCCCGCCCCGGAGCTCCGCCCCTCTCCCGCTCCCCGCCCGCCTGCCCCCTCGGGGTCCCCGACTGCCGAGCCCCGCTCCCCTCGGAGCCCACTCGCGGGCTGCTCTCTACGCCCCGCCGCAGGCAGCCCCGGCGCCGCACCGTCTCCCTAGCCAAGACTGAGCTGAGCCGACTCCTCCGGAGCCGGGCGCCGAGGGCGCGTCTTCCCTTCCCCGAGGGCCACGCGCCCCGTCTGGTCGCCGGAGACGGCGGGCCCAGCGCTCAGGTCCCCTCCTGTCCTCTCCCGCGCGGCGCGCGCCAGGGGTCCCGGCTCCCAAATCCTGCTCCTGCTGTCGGGGAGATCCGCTTCCCCCAACTCCCATTCCTTGGAGGTGGAAAGAGGCTTGCGACGCCACCAGCGTTCTCTGTGCCGAGGGTGGGACAATTTTTTTCTCATGTAAGGCCAGAGATTCACAATAAAATAAATTTAAACCCCGTGCCCAAACTCTTACTCATTATGCAAGACTCAGGTCGAGCGTTGCCCATGGCGCAAGACCCTTTCGGTGCGGACAAACAGCCCCCGCCTTCCACTGTCCCGCGCGAAAGGGCACGCGGTCCTCCGCAGTCCTCCCTGGCGGCCGCCGCCTGTTGCCCCTGTCTCCTCCACCCGACCCTGCTCCTGGATCCGGCCTTGCTCATCTCTGTCCTCAGCCTCTGGCACTGTGCCTGCCACCCATCATGGCACTAGAATATTTTATGAATAAGGGGAAAATTAATTTCTTTTGCAGGAAACAAGTGTTTTGCTGTTTACCCTCAAAGAAAGCATACTCCTTTGGGTGAGCAATTTGCCACTCTCTATAAAGAACCCCCCAAAATATTAATATTATCTCCTCTTTAATGCGGTATTCTGCATTTGGGGAAATTTCCAGAACAAAATAATATTTATGTGCAGATGTTTGTAGCAGAGTCATTTATTACAGAAAATAATTTTAAAAACCACAAAAAGCAAACACAGCCAAACTGTCAGCAGTAGGAAATTGCTTAAATAAATTAGAGTGACTTAATGGGATATTATACAACTGTTAAAATGATAACCATCAAGACAGAAGTGCTTCAAATTCTTTTTAGAACAAGGAGGGAGTATGTCTTTATTTATAAAGCAAAAAAGAGAAAAATATGAAGTAACGTGATGAAGCATTTACAAAATAATATTGAGCAAAAGTGTAAAAAATTGTATTGTTACCGCACTTAATAATTTCAAATAAAAATGCAGCTTTCGTCTTTGCAAATGGCCATAACACCTACCTCAAGAGGTCCTTGGAATCTTAAATGAGATGTTCAAGAAAAGTGTCTGATACATAGTGGATACTCAGCAAAAAGTTTCCATTTGCTTTCTTCAAAGGAACATGAACTTACATGTGTCAAATACACCATGATAGCCCCCCGTTCTGCCCATTTGGCTTCCTGCCACTCAAATGCAGGATAGAAGAAGTTGAGCATTTGCTCAAGCACCAGGGTATAGTGAAGGGGGAGAATCTAGTCAATAAGAATAAATGTCAAACTCTCCCTCTTGCCCAAACACCCAGCAATACAAGTTGGCAATGGGGGATTTGGCTCAATAGCAGTACATACTGAGGTATAGTAGAGTTTTGTTGCTGCTGTTGTTGTTTTCCCTCAGGCTAGCCTCAAACTCCTGGACTCAAGGGATCCTCCTGCCTCAGCCTCCCAAGAAGCTGGGATTATAGGTCTACATCCCTGTACCTTGCTCTGTCTTAGAGATTTCAGTTGGCTATAAGCACAGCCTTGTCAGCACCCAAAGGCTGAATTAATTTAGTCCAAAAGCTGGACAAGGCGATAATGTTAGAATGAACTAATCCTCTTCAAATGGTCAGCTCACACCTGGGCATAATATTTAAATCTGGGCACTGCTTTTGAGGAAGTGTCACTCTCAAAGCTATTATTGCTCCAGTTTTAAGGATGTATTAAGAGAAACTGACGCTTACAGAGTGTAAGGTATCCAGGATTGGGCAACTGGGAGTTGGCAGAGCCAAGACCTGAATCTGTTAAGCTTGACCTCAGTCCAGGTGCTTGGTCACTTCGCCAGTTTGTCCCTGTGTGTGCACCTTCTACTAGGAATGGCTTTGCATGGTACACAGACAATAACAGTAAATAACAGTGGATCTCAAGGACAAAAAGCTAAGCTCTTTTTTCAATTCTCTTTTTCCTGTGGAATATGTCAAGGGGGAAGTATAATTTTGTATAATAGTATTTGTCTTCACACCCCTCTAACTCTTGCTAATCTCCTGTTTTCACAAAGAGAGAGCTTGCCTCTCCCTTAGAACCTTTGCTAGGCAACAGCTCCTAAGTAGAATTTAATATCATCATTTTCTCTTCTGTCTATTATTCCTCCTGCTGTTAATCTCTAATTGATATAGTTTTCTGCTTACAAGGCAATGTAGTTTCCATTTAAGGGAAATTTTCTTAAGTAAGAAAAATAAGTAATTTCAAAGAAAGGTATTAAAAAACTAATAGGACTGGTGATATTTGAAATTTGGGAAATACTGTCCCATGCTCTATTATGACCAGTGGCTGGAAGGTATGGTGAAGTTTTAGTCCAAAATGAATAAGACCTTTCTAACAATCGGAGCTGTCTGAGAGGATGCTGAAGGGTTGCCCTCTGACAGGTAGCATTAACCACATGCTTTTAGAGGTCTGAAGAGGATTGGATTGAGGCACAGGTTGTTAGATGCCCATTTGTTAGGAATGACGCCATAGGAGCCCACACACTAGATAGACTAGAAGCTTTAAACTTCCTGCCAACCAAGAGAATCTGGGTTTTTTTGTGTTGTTTTTTTTTTTTTTTCTCTTTGAGACAGAGTCTCACTCTGTTGCCTGGGCTAGAGTGCTGTGGCCTCAGCCTAGCTCACAGCAACCTCAAACTCCTGGGATCAAGTGATCCTCCTGCCTCAAGTCTCCCAAGTAGCTGGGACTACAGGCATCCGCTACCATGCCCGCTTAATTTTTTTTTATATATATATTTTTAGTTGTCTAGCCAATTTCTTTCTATTTTTATTAGAGATGGGGGTCTTGATCTTGCTCAGGCTGGTCTCTAACTTCTGAGCTCAAACGATCCACCCACCTTGGCCTTCCAAAGTGCTAGGATTATAGGTGTGAGCCACCTGGCCTGGCCGAATCTGGGATTCTTGACAGCAGATCTCCCAGGGATCTGACCTCTGAAAAGACAGATTTTGGAGTAAGTTATATAAGCTCCTTTTGGGGACAAATCCCAAAGGAGAGTTCCGAGCAGGCTTTGAGCAAGAGCAGCACCACTGGGACAGTGGTATAACTGAAAGAGCACTAGCAGATTCTCTCCAAGGTAACTGTTCTGAAAGAGACACCATTTGGGGGGATTTAAAATGTTAGGATGTTTGTTTACAACCAAATCATTTACTCCCTACTGATACCTTCTTCAGGTGTAGACTCTCTTCCTAACCATCCCTGATGGCCAAGAGGATGAGGCTGTTCCTCTTTCCTTTCATATGTCTGCATCTCCTGTCACGGGGGTCCACTTTGTATGGCATTTGTTCCCCACGAGACAGCTGCCCCTATTGTCCATTTAAACCCTTTGGATCAGTATAAAAATGCATGGGTAGTAAAAAAAAAAAAAAAAAAAAAGACAGGTACATAGGTCTCTAGCAGTTAAAAAGTACCTTTGAAGGAAAATAAATAAAAGGAAAATAAAAAATACCTTTGGTGTAGGAAATTTATTTTGCAACCATATAGTCTGAAAATCTGTAATGTTCGGAACTGAACTGTGGTCAGATTGCCTTATGGTTCACAAATATTTGGTACTTTGAGATCACCTGGGCCCCTGACTGCTAAGAACAGAAATCCCCCCAGGTGCTTATTTGGCAGGTAAGCTAGAAGGAGAAGAATGCTCAGACAGCCCCATGGACAGATTAAATGCTTCCACTCCACTGGAATAACCACATGATAGGGAAACTCGTTCAATTGTTAGACAGCTCTTTGGGTAAGGAAGTGCTTTCCTAAGGCACCCTTGATGCTTCTCTTTCCCTCACACACCATAGCCAACCTATCTGCAAGTCCTTCCGGCTCTACTTTCAAAATACATCCAGATTCAACCTCTTCTCCTCACCTCTACCATTCTCTTAGAAAACTTTCTAGCTATTCTTCCTGCTTTCACCTTGCCTTCCCAAAGGAGCTGAGATGACTTATTTAAAAGTTAACACTAATTAGGTCATTTCTCTGCTCAAAGCCATGTAATGGCTTCCTGTCGCACTCAGAGTGAAATCCAATAAATCCATAGCCTATTAAGGCCTCTGGCTATTCCTCTAATCTCATCCCCTACAATCTTCCTTGGCTTCACACACACTGGCTTCCTTGCTGGTCTCTGGATGTGCCCAGCACGTCCTGCCTTGGAGTCTTTGCGTTTCCTCCTCTCCGTCTGGAACACTCCCCTTCCTCCCTTCTTTTGCTCTCTGTTCAGAGAGGCGTTTCTTTGGGATTCCTATCCCGTAGTGATACAGCCTCGCTTTCACCTGACTCCATCACTACTTCCTTACCCTGCCTTGCCACTTTTTTAGGGTGTTGTAAACTTTACTGATGGTTTATGAACAATAAATTTGGGGGGTAGGGTGGGGTCACAGAGAGGTTAGAGCAAATTGCAGCACAGAAAACAACTTAAGAACAAATATTAAATACTAACATCTGGAAATCCAGCTGCCATGAATTTCTCAGTGGCTCTCGTGGCTCCTGGGTTTTCAGTCTCCTGTCTTGTTACGGTAGGGTTTTCTCACCCTCTCACCTACAGCCCTAACTCCTCTCAGATTACCCTAAGAACCTCAAGTGGGGGCCTATTTTTTGGTTTGTTTTTGTTTTAATTGACTTATTTTTTGAAATACAGAATACATTTAGCAATTGGTACAACTCGAACAGCACTGTAGAAACCCTCCTCACGTCCTTTC